TTATTAGTCTCAACACAATCCTATACTATAGCGACGTGATCTCATTCCAGTTTTTAGGAAGATTTGATGTCTGAGAAAGAATGGATGAATCCAAAACTCAATCTTCTGTTTATTCAAACTACAGAAGATAATTCCTTCCTACGCTGACACAGAATTTAGAGAAGGTGGCAGGAATTGGATCTAACTGGTAGGAACTTGACACTCTGAGAAGTGTCTTTATTAACGCTTGGTGAATTTAGCGGGCTCAGTGCTCTGACTACAACTAGATTCCCTACTGGCAAATTGATTCCAATGTAGCAACTGCACTTACTCCTCTGGACCGTCATCATTAGAAGAAGTTTATTAATGTCTGTACAAGAAGCAGACTAGACCCTCTTGGTCAAGGTTCATGCTTTGACTACACCTTGTGCGCTTATGGAGAGCAAGAACATTTTCTGAAGCGTTTACAAATAAATTGAAAACTAGGTCTTGTAGCCTGATCCATAGATTACGTATTAATTATATTGATTAATTATATTAAGAATCCTCAGTTAGCACTTTGAGGATCGACAGGTTCTTGTCCCAAGCTCAGCCCCAGTATTATTTAGATTATTATATGGTTGGGAACTCTTCTATATTTACAAATAGTTTATTAATACATTTAGCACAGTCAAACCCTCCAACTCAGTAAGGTAGATAGAGATAATACAGAAAGTACATCTGAGTATCCATGCTTGCTACATCCCTTGCAGAACAACCTGAAATGTTAGCCGTTCTCTTCCTCCTCATCACCAGTGGCCATCATTCTGGCACATCCCCGGGGCAGTGGGAGAGAGATGTAGCCCACAGGCTGGGAGGTAACTTTTACAATAGGTTACGCTGACACCATTGTGTCTAATGTATATTCAGTAGGGGTTTCTCCACTCTTCCTTATTTGTATTTCCTCATCCCTACTAATGTTGAGGTGTCCTTCTTATATAAAAGTTAGTATATTAACCATTTCAATTTATTATCATGTGTTAATTCGTTGCCATGGCACTCTTGTGGTTGGATGTTCTTTCCAAAACTTTCCAAAAGATGGTGTTTAGCTCATGTTTCTGTGGGTGGCTGATGTCAATATTGACAAAATTCCCCTTACACTCTTTTTCCAGTTCCCCAAAATTTAGGGGTTACTCTCGGGCCGTTTATCTGTGCCAAAGTTCATAGGCCTCAAGTCTCAGCTAACTGTTGAAGCCAATGTCTTAAAGGATACAAGCCTGTCAGTTCGCTGTATTAGTGCTGAATATAATGAAGGCAGAATATAATGAAGGCAAGGCAGAGAATATAATAAAGACAAGCTAGTCTTATGGGCTACAGTCTAAAGTTATGCTCAGCAAGGGTTGGTGTAGATAGATACAGTACCTGAACGCCAGAAGAATTCAAGTCACATTATTATTTCTGCCTCCATCAAATGGGGAAACAGCCTGGATTCTCTTGGTTTTTTAAAGCAATATTGATTAATGGAGATATCCTATCTCCTACAACTGGAAGGGACCCAGAAAGGTCACTGAGTCCAGCCCCCTGCCTTCACTAGCAGGACCAAGTACTGATTTTTGCCCCAGATCCCTAAGTGGCTCCCTCAAGGATTGAACTCACAACCCTGGGTTTAGCAGGCCAATGCTCAAACCACTGAGCTATCCCTCCCCCCCCCAAGGTTCTGTTACTAACCTTTTTTGTTCTGCCTTTTCCTCAAGTGTATTTTTAGTTTAGATGTCAAATCCAAGCCATGACAGTGTAGTATGTTGTTAGGAGGGCCAATCAGAGTTTAGACCTAAATTATAGGGGTTTCTAAATATAATTGATTCTCTTTAAAATTGAGAGATCTTGACACAGACATCAAACCCTCATAGAATTTTTGTATTCCCAACATTTCAGCATTCCACTAGTGCATGAGACCCTGAAACAGATGTCAGTTTTCATTGTTCAAATGCAATATGACACACAACAATATAAACAGTGAAATGTCTAAGTCTCTGCAAGATCAGGTCTTAACATGTAGCCCCCACCCCAATATACACTCCTAATCTTAACTAGAAAGGGAACTCCTAATTGCCACTGTGAACTAGAAATGTTTTCTTATCTGAGTTGTTTTTAATGACCAGCCCTCTTGGACAGAATCAGGTCCTTCACTCCCGTTTCTCCTATATAAGTGTTGGGTGAGACTGCACTAATTTTTCTATGTTATACTTAAGGGGGGAAAAGGTCCAAAAACTAACACTTACCAATAAATATTGCTTCAGATTTCCTTACAGCTTCTACAGGATCTGAAGATTCATGAATACTGTCTAACCCATATCCTATAAGAAAACATTTGTTTATCTACCTTTGCCATTTCTATTTAAATAAAGATATGAGAAGTCGCACCTATTTTCCAAAACCCCTTACAAGAAGCTACTAAGGAAACATAGCAGCCAGAGGTTGAGATGCAAAGTACTGTCATACAGTACAAGCCGGCTAGGAGACAGAAGATAGGAGGAGAAGGTCAATTTCAGCCTGGCAAAAGGTGAAGAGGTATGTGCACCACAGGATTATTATAGCAATGGTGGTGTTAATTAGATTTATGGGTGAACTGGAAAAAGAGATTAAAAGGAAGCTGGCAAAGTTTAAAGATGAATAGGCAAAACTATTCATGCTAAGCAGGATGAGGGAGAATGTGGAAATTACCAGAGAGCCCTAACAGACACAGGATTGGCCAATACAGTGCAAAATGCAAGGCAAGGAATAATTTGCACTATTCAGACAAACACACACTGGAATGAATAAATGAACTATTCATATTACACTGTTGAGGTTTCGGTTATCTGGAGCCACACAGGAAAGTGGCCTGTTAGGTGTCATTGTGGACAGTTCAAAGATAACATCTGCTGTTATCTGTTGAGGGGGGATTTTGTTTTATTTTTGAAGGGCAGAATTGTTTAACTAGATCTTGTACACCAGTTAGACAGATATAGAAGTCATGCAACAGCCTCTATTCCTTGATACTGGCCACTTGAAAAAGCTAGCATGTCTATTCACCAGAAAAAACCCACAGAACTAAAGTTCATGCAAAATATTTTAATAAGTCACCATGTTGATTTCCCCCTACAGAAACTCCAGGTCCATAAGCAGGATGCTGTCTTACCTAAACTTTCAAACTTCTCTCTTGCGGTCTTGGCATAGGCATCTCGATCATGAAGAGCGTAGGGAATAAACAAAACTCTCTTCACCTTCCTAGGAAAGACAGATAACATGATCACAACTTGGGCAAATAGTTTGGGCTTCATCAGCTTTGTTATATGGGCGTAACTAGTTGTAACAGCAGACCCAAAGTTTAACCTACTTGGTTTCTCTCTCTCTCCACTACCCCCATTTAAACTTTCCTTGTGACCTAACAAGTTGGAGTTAAATGCAGAGATCAGAAGTGGTGATGAAAGCTTCGTATTGCTGAGTGGACATAAAGTTGCACGCTAACGGGGTGAAAGGGAAGGGCTGCTTTTCCTGATACAACCAAGAAGAGGTTTTAAGAAGGCCTAAGATAAAGTAGCCTTCCTCTTCCTTCCTTTTATTTTAAAAAAGAAACTGTTTGCTTTTCCTACTTTTCCATCCACAACATCTGATTTCCAAAGACCTGAACGTCACCAAACCTTCAGTGACAATGCTGATAATAAGTACCAACAATCTTTTTAAAATGAATAAAGTTCAGGCTATGACTAACTTACGCCTGCTGTGTGACACTCCCATTTCTATCAGTCTGTGTTCAGCCCTATGAATTTCGAAGAAAACTAAACACTGCAGCATTGTTTCTCAGCATACCAGTATCTTGTCCTGTTCTACATATGTCCCTAGAAGGGCCCCAGTCCCAATGCAACACCATTGTCTATACCAGGAATCCAGCTGTGCCTCATGGTCCAGGCAGCCCTTCCACCTAGTGCACTAGCCTCCCCGCCCCATACTCTCTCACACACACTTTATAGCACATTGTTTGATATGTCTGCTTAAAATGTAACCACTATGTTCTCTTCGCTAGAACATCCAAGACTGAGCTACACCATTATGAAGTGCACGGGGCAGCACACCTCGTCAGTGCTTAGCAGACAGAGACAGGCGGCTGCCATGAGTTTACACCCTAAAACTACCCAAGGGATCTGGGCAACCCCATTCCCATTTAAATGATCGGGAACTGGGCACCCAAGCACCAGCGGCAGCTTTGAAAAGCGCCAGCGTTGGTGTACAACTGGAAGGTGCTGCTGGTTGGCTGGGCACAGTGCTAAAGAGGAGGCAGCACTGGAAGCCCTGCTCGGGGGTCTCGCGGGAGGGAGGCACTGCAGAGTAGGCACAGACTCTCCACTTGGGCCAGCACACGCGCCTCCCTCCAGCTCTTGGTGGGCGTCAGCAAGCGCCGCGCCCAGAGACGAGGACAGCACTTGGGGGCACAAGCTGCCCCCTGGCTCTGCACACGCCACAGGCGCTAGCCCGGCGGGTCAGCGGAGTCTGGCTGAAGGCTTGTCCGGGCCGTGCCCTGGCACAACGAGTCACGAGAGCAGAGCCGCCTCCTAGGGGTGACCAGATGTCCCGATTTTTGGGTCTTTTTCTTATATAGGCTCCTATTACCCCCCACCCCATCCCGATTTTTCACACTTGCTGTCTGGTCACCCTATGCGGCCTCCCCAGGCGGGGTCGCGGGGCGCTGGCACCTACTGCCCGAAGAAGCTCCTGACTTGCTGCTGGCAGTGGCCCAGGTACCCTCCGCCGCGCAGGGTGGAGTTGGACACCAGCAGCAGCCGCCGGGGGGGGCCCATCAGCGCAGGCGGGTGTAAAGCGCCGCTGAGCAGGGGCGGAAGCCAGCGCGCGGTCCTGCCTCTGACCTCGGCCCCGCCCCTCGGAGCTCTGCGGCTCTCAGCGCACGCCGAGTCCGGCCCGTGCTGCTGCGGGGCGGGGCCTGGAGGGAACCCGGGCACCACGCCGGGCTCGATTGCTTTGGTCTGTTCGGCCAGGCCGCCTAGTTGCCAATCGACCTGTGCGGGGACGTGGAGAGCCCCTGGAGCGGCGCGCACGGCCTGGGCCATGCTGGACTTCGCGATCTTCGCCGTTACCTTCCTGCTCATCCTGGTGGGGGCCGTGCTCTACCTCTATCCGGTAACTGCCACGGGGGGGCGGGGCGCGCTCTACCCGTACCCGGT